GGTATTGCAGGGATAATCCTACCGGGAATGTCCAACCTTTTGACATTGCCACACAAGGTTGTCATCTACAAAGCTCACACTGGAGCCTCTCACGACCCATAAGAAACAATCCCCACAGTCCCTGGTTTATATAAAGGGGGTGTTAATCGGTGTAAAAGAAACAATCCCCACACACGCTGTTTATTGAAGACTGGGAATTTTGTGCGTGGGCACAGCTGGAATCCTTAGAAGGCAGTTTCTGAAATAACAGGCACACCTCAGAGCAAAGGGGTCGTGACAGTTCTCTTTCTAGAAACCGGGAAAACCGGCTCTGCGCTGCAGGCGGCAGGGCAAGCTACGTGGGACAGCGCACCTTCGCCCCACCGTGCGGCCCCGGCAGGAGGCGGGTTGGGGCGGGGCTAGGAGCGCCGCGCCGGGCTCCGGAGGAGGAGCAGGGCGCCTGCGCGAGGTTTCTCAGCGGCCCTGGGTGTTGGCGCGCGTTCCCGAGGAAGCGGAACGAGGCGCGCGCGAGTTCCTAGAAGGGCGGGCGCCTGCGCGCGGTCGGAGAGGCGGGGCGGGGCGCCTGCGCGCGGACGCAGAGGGGGGGGCGGAGCGCCTGCGCGCGGACGGAGAGGAGGGGCAGGGCGCCTGCGCGCGGCCCGGGAGGCGGGGCGGGGTGCCTGAGTGGTGGGCGTGGCCGACTGGCGTTGGTTGCTAGGCTGAGGCGGGCTGGGCGTCAGACTTAGTCGGCTCCTGGTTCGGCCATAGCGGAAGTGCGGATTCGAGCGGCTCTCAGGTGCGCCGAGCTGCAGCGAGAGCGAGATGGAGTTGAACCAGGCGGCGTCTGGCACCGACGGTGTCCGCGAGCGGGGAGGCTCGGACCGAGCTGAAAGGAGGGAGCAGAACCGAGATGAGCGGCGTCAGTCCGGGACGAACGGGCTCCCGAAACACTCCTACTGGCTGGATCTCTGGCTCTTCCTCCTTTTCGACCTGGTGTTGTTCATCTTCGTGTACCTCTTGCCCTGGTGAGTGCAGAATTGAAGTGTTCAGGTTGCGGGTTGCTCCAGGCTTGTCGGGGACGGGGCACAGCTAGAGTTGGCCGAGTCGGGGGGTGGCGCTGGGAGGGAGAGCGACAATGGGCTATCTTTGCAGCCGTGCCAGTGTGGAGGAAACTTGGCTTCCCACTTTTGCTGTCTTGGGTTCCCGAATGACCACGAAGGAACTGAAGTTAACTTCTAGAAACTTTTATCTTTTATTAGAAGCCGTAGTATATCATTAGTAGGGTGTAATAGATTAAACGTGATTTTATCTAAAAGTGATTTGGATATTGTGTACGTGCTTAAAACCCGTACAAAAGCAGGCCATGTCATGCTTAAGCCTTGTCATGACATGTCTAAGCCTTGTCAATTTATGTAGCTATGTTTATTATCTTCTAAAGTATCCCTATTCCTACATCTGTCAAAGAATGGAGTATCTTAAACTTCTTTGCCACCCATTTCCGTCCCCCGATTTTGTGGCAAGTTAGAAGGCAGAGGAAGGGGTGGTGGGGAGGATGTAGAGTAGTGAAAGGATAGGAGTTCCTTTTTTTTTATTTTTTGATAACTTTTCCTAAGCCATTTTGGTAGAGGTAGACATTTCAAGAACAGCGAATGTCTGATTTTCGCCTCTGATTCGAAAATTCAAGACTTCATGACCTAGGCCTTTTGTTTTTCCTTACCAATGTAAATTATGTAGGGATAGGCATATGATTAGCAATCTAGGTGTTCCGTTTGGCATTAAGTGTCAAAATAAGCAGATACAGGAAACGGTAACCAGCGTTTGGTTTTTGCAGACTGTTTTGCCGAGATGTCAAGAGCATGTGGCTTCTGGGGTGAATCCTGAATACTACAGACTTCTTGAATAAAGAGGATTTCCAGCAGCTGAATTCCAGACCTCTAACCTTTCCTTAAGCCCTGACCTCCTCAAAATAGCACCGTGTATTTCAAGCCTGTTTTTAGTGCTTGAATTAATATTATTGTAGCTAAATGATATATGTATATATAATATATTTTTAATAATGCTTGCAACTTAAGTACTTAAGGGAAATGTATGTGGAATTTACTCACCACATGAGGTATTGGGGCCCCTCACTATTAACCAGGACACAGCGGTCAACAACAGAGGAAAAAAAACATTCCTTTGTGACACTATCTTGAGTATTGTTTTAAAATATTTATCGTCTGTGGTTGGGTAGGTAGCATTTACTCAGAAATGCAACGGTCCCAAAGCAGCCAGTATAAGTACTTTGGAAGCTGTTCTTTTTCATCCTAAGATTTGTGTAATTAGAAATTGGTTACTGTTGGTTTTAATGCTGTTCAGTATGAGGAATGCCTAAAATATAGGGGGGGCTTCTCCCTTATAGTTAAGTCATATTTGGTAAATTGTTAACAGCTATGTCTTCAGGATATTGTTGCATTTACTTGGATAATTTTTTTGTAATTGCAATTTATAATTGAAGCATTTGTATCAGAACACAGGACTGGGAGGACACTGAGTATACTAGACTGTGTGACCCAATTTGTACTGTGTACTAATTTTCTCTAATAAATGTTTAGTTATACTGCTGAATTTGGTTTCACTGTGTCATATTCTCATGATAAAGTAGGGAGGTTAATAGTCCTGACATAGCTCACATGCACTTTATTCTCGAGCCCCAAAACTGAAAATTTATAGTATGGAGATCTTAGATGATGGTTAATTTTTGGGTCACTTTATTCCTGGGTATGTCTCTGTTTCTGGAAGATAAACTAATATGCTGGAAAAATGGTAAAGATACTCGCCCCCATGTGAGACCACCAGTCCTTTGAGAACTTGGATGAAAAGGGAAGGCAAGTTCTCTGTGCTGGGACATTTGTGTGTATACCGTCCTGGGATGAATGAAGGTTGTGCCGAGCTACTCTAGACTAAGAACAAGACTAGGATCTTGAGGACAAGCTGGGCTCAGCATCGCCGTCCTCTCCAAGCACGACTGTTCTTACCTCGGAGTTAGGCATAACAGGCGCAGCTGTAACTGTTCTGAGCGCCATGACATCCAGTCACTGCCTTAATGCCTCCCCTTAAAATAGCTTCCGAAAGCTTTTGACTGCAGTGCCCACTATAGCTGCACAATTGTATTTAACGAACTATTCCTGGCCTTCTCATGATTATTCTGTCACCTAGTGCCAACTGCCACATCAACTCCAGTGTTGTCTGTGTGACATGACATACGTCATTATGCCGGATGGGAGCTACGTGTCCTATGGGACTAGGCTTCCTGGAGGTCAATGGCAGACGGCCCGGTATTGGCCACCGCTGAGGCATAGACTGGTTTCTCGATTAGCTGGCTATGCGAGATATGGGCTTTGCACAATCTCTTTTATAATAATGATATTCTTATATCTACAAGACAAGGATTATCATTCAGGAACAGCTCCGGGATAGGGAAGCAAAGTATTGGAATGTATAAGACTACAACAGAACCATTGTCATACACTGGGGTGTATGATGAGCAAGGGAATAGATGGGTTAATGTTGATGGACAAAGACTTATATTATACTCTGAACTTTATGGATAGGCTTGCTAGATCTCAACCTCCATGGTGTCTGCTGCACAAGAAGGTACTAAAAAGTATATTTCAGCAGGTGCAGAGAACTGATTAGACATATTTGGTCACTAGATGAGATAAAGGGTTAGGAAGAGGAAGGGCCATGATCGTGATAATGAGACAGAAACTTTCTATTCATAAGATAAAACCACTTGTCTGAGGTTCACGTTCCCGAGGACAAGATTTCCTCTTCTAAGGATGTTTTATGTCTAACACCTGTCCCTGGTAATATGCTTTTCTTAAATATTGCTGATGTGACTAAAAAGAAGCTTTCATACTGTGCCAACCAATGATACATGACCTTCTGATTTGTTTTGTTTGAATACTATATAATGAAAACATGAATTCAGTAAGATCACAGCAGATTCCAACCATTCTCTTGTGTGTTGTGTCTGTCATTCGCCGAACTTGGGCCTTCCTGTGTACCAAGACCCTGCTTCTTCCACGGTCTGAGTGGCTCCCTCCGTGGCAGCCAACCTGTGAATTTCTAGGTGTGGCGCCGTGTCTGTGAACATTAGCACTACAGATTTCTTCGTTCTCAGGCTTCAGACTGCCTAGTCTCCTTGGTTCTCTGTCCTAAGCTGTGAACTGGAATTCAAGCTTTCCTAGGCTTCAAGTCTACAGTGGACAGCTGAGGGGACTGCTGAGCCTCGATCACGTGAGCCAATGCATGCTAAATCAATTCCTATCTACCTACCTATTTATCTGTCGTGCTCTTTCAAGAACTCTGCCCACACTGTGAAATTTCAGAGTACCTGGTAGCTGTAGTAGGCTGGCTTGGGGCTCAAGAGAAAATGTGCACTGTAATTGACACATAAGAGCACGAAGGCTGAATCTCCAAGAGATAATTACATTTTTTAGTAAACTGTGGTGCTCACACTTGGGAAGTTACCAGAAATATGTAAATGGAACTTCAAGGCACACTGAAAATTTGTTCCCATCAAAGATAGCAAAAGAGTAATCTGGTAAGTTCCTTTGTAAATTCATTTAGCTCCTAAACATGAAATAGCTTCTGACAGTTCCATCTGAATTGGCTTCGGACTCAGAAGAAGTTTTAGGGAGATGTTAACCTCAAGTTACAAGACGCAAAGAGTCCAAGTGCCAGACCACAAACAAGAATACATTGGAAATCAGTTCTGTGACAAGGTAGAGCCTGGGCTTACTTTTGCTTTTACATTTTATTTTCTGACTGTGTTGCCCTGTATACAGGGCTGGTCTGGAACTAGCTTTGCAGGCCAGGCTCGCCTTCAACTCTGAACAATCCACCAACCTTCCTCCTCAGAGCTAGGATTAAGAATGTGGGCCTCTGCCCAGCCGATTTTTTTTAAATAATTTGAAGTGATTGGAAAACAAAATAATTTCATGACACATGAAAATCACATACAATCTAGATTTTGATGCCGACAAGGTTTTATTGAAAAACAGCCACACTCATCCATTACCAGTTGTTTATGGCTGCTTCTAAACCAGAAAGCTATGTGACTGTTACAGAGATCTGCTGCCCATAGTCCAAATCATTTATATCTTGCCCTCTAGAGAACAGCTGCCACTTTCTCTAGGAGTTGTGCTTCAGACTTTGCTGGGATTTAAATCTTAGAAACATCCTGGGCTAATATTTTATGATCTTTATTTTTTTTTAACAATTTCCCATAGAATATGTAATGTGTGGAAGGGGACACAGTTCATAAGTGCAAAAAAAGACCAGCTATATTAGCTTAAAAATGAGTCTCTTAATTTTTTTTTTGAGCCAGAAGAAATTCATTTCACATGAAAATACAATATTCTGGAGATAACTATTTGAAACATGATTGCATTATTTGAGAACTTAGAAGCTTATAACAGAAACATTGATAAAAATAGGCACCAGAGGAGAAGAAATTTATACAATTGGCCAATATGTAGTGAAATTTATTCTGTGTTGAATCAACAAATGGCTAGTTTCTACTTCAGTCAGTATTAGAGAATGCAGAGAGTTTTAACTGAGTAGTGCATTAAAGTGAGAAACAATATTTCTGCTTGCAAACTCAACTGAGTTGAAAGGGTGTATCTATGAAACTGCTGTAAAATACAGAAATTAGTTTAATGTTTCAAATAATACATTCCCAACAGGAAATATGGACCAAATAGAAAAAATTTTTAAACTTAAAAATCTTTTATAAGCTATTAAAAATAACGGAAGCTCTTTTCTAGTATTTTACAATGTTATAAAAGCAAGAATTATAAACATTGACATTTCAAATACAATTTTACAAACTTTACATTATATACAAACTCTTCATACTAAAAGCTGTTAAAAAATAAGCTTTAAGGATCAATTTCAATTTGCTATTCAAGTGTTTAAGAGAATACAAAGTAACGACCACCAACTAGACAGCTGGAAAAAAACAAGAACAAGATTTGGCCAAGAATTGATTAACAGTGTGAATTCAGACTTATAAGCAATTTTCAGTTTATCTAAAAGTACTTAAATACACTTTGGATTTTAACAATTTATGGTACTCATCAAGCTATTGATTTTATCAGTTTACTGAGTTTTAAAGTAATGATTACAAAATTTACCCACTTAGAGATATTATAAAGACAACTAATTTTGTAGTTCTCAATTCTCTGGGGCAGGCGTTAGGAAACTCTTCTAAAGCCCAATTAGTTTATTGGCCTGTTCCAAAATAAAATCATAACCAATTAAAGCAATTCAATTAACTTACTTTCAACATAGGAATAAAGATTCCTTTCAATATAAACTCCACTCCATGATGGAAGTGGAGATAAAATTACTATTGAAGAAAAAAAAGAATAAGATTTCATCAAGATTAAACCTTTATATAAAGGCAAAAATTTAACCTAAGCATTGACAATCTTTAGCAATTTGTAAGTCACCAAAGCAGCAATTACAGCCACAGTCCCAATAAGAAAGCCCAATGCTAATTTGTAACACTGGTTATTAGCAGCCCAAAGTAAATCAAACCAAAGGGAAGGCCTTTCACATTTCATACAGAGCTAGAAAACAATTTAACAAGATAAAGAATATACTGCAATATTCTTACTTTTAACTTACATGATGCAAATGTTTTTAGTACAAATTATAAAGGCTAATTTATGTTAAGTAGATATTCTGAAAAGTTGTAGAACAAAATAAGTTTTATATGGCCTTGAGATTTTGATTTAAAAATGTTGATCATTAAGGCAAATGCTTTCCAGATGATAACTTAACAAATCCATGGGTGTTTTTAAGACACTTGAAGGAGCCCACGTACTAGACTATCACAGAAGTCAAAAGCATGTGGGGATAGCCATCTTTGGGTCACCCACTAGAAAGTGCTCTGCAAAAAGCAAATACTGCTTTCGCTATACAAACGGCATCTCTTAATTAGCAAAATGGACCAACCCACACATTAATACAGGCTAGTATAATCCATGTCTATCTGCCAAATCACAGGAGGGAGGCATACAGGCTAGGATAATACATGTTCACTAGCCAAATTACAGGAGGGAGGCATGGCGTTTGCTCATCGGTTATATACAGCAAATGAATTTTACCTTTCTTACTTTTAAAGGTATACCATGACCACTCCAAGGAAATTTCTAAAATACTTGGCAAATTCATCATCATAAACTATGTAAGGTTAACCTGGTTAATAATTTTCAATACCAGTTTCTGTTTTATATATCATTAGGTTTGGTTAGTTTGTATATTTAAAGGCTGGCTCATTTATCTTACAATGGACACCAGGGTTTTATATCCTTGTTTAGAAGGGCAGCGGGAACCAAGATACCACTATGTAATAGATCCTTCTATGTGCTCAGTCTGAGACAGCGAATTATTACAACGGCCACTGCTCTCTGGGAAACAGAGCTTGGGTCTCTGATGATATTTCAATCTGTATGTATCAGTCATGCAACTATCAACTGAGAAATAGGTCGTTAGTGAAATTGCTTCATTTGGGCACACAGAACTGGAGTGTTGATGTGGTTGGCACGGTGCGTCAGGTGCTGCTTCTGAGTCTGCCTGAGAATCGTGAGCTGCACAACTGGACGGGTAGTTGTGGGCGGTGTGCTGCCTCCCTTGGACAGCATCTTTGTCGCTTTTGTGGATCATGTGCGCACTCCCTTCGGAGCTTGGTCCTGATGCAGTACTCAAACTGTGTTTTGGAAGATTGGAGGAATTAACTTTGAATACCTCTGTAAGTCTGGTATCAGGTATAAATTCCGCTCTCTCTAACTGTGGCACACTGGGCGCAGAATATTTCTTTGGCGGCAAAGGGGGTGGTGAGCTACGGCAGTGGGGTTTTGGCACCTGACAGCTGTCAGTGTTGCAGGCTGACTGCAGTGTGTGTCCTCTGGATAGGGAGTTCTCAGAGTAACACTGCTCAGCAGTTCTCCCGTGTGACCACAATGACGACGGTGAGACCGTTTCTTTCCTGCTGACTCTGGTTCCGGGCACAGAACTATCATTAGTGTGAAATGGCAAACCTGTTCCTTCAGAATTTTCTACTTCATGCCACTCAGAAAACTTGGTCCCATCAGAGTTTCCCATTTTTTGCTCATTGGTCTGGTAGACATGATCTCTTGCACTATGGTCCTTAAGTATCTGTGGGCTGGCTGAAGGGAAAAACTTATCACTGGTTTCGCCGATATGTGACCTGAAATTTGAAAATAAAAATACAAAGTAAAGCCAAATAACCACATAGAGAAACTAAATATTTATCTTAGTTTGACTTTCCCAATTTATGATTTATAGTTTTACAACACAGCAGTGGAAATGGGGACTGTTTTGTAGCCATGCCAGAACTGTACATATATGACTACCAGAAACATCCACCGCATTAACAATCGTTATCTCTGTCTCTGTATGTCAGGGTTGTGGGGGTGGAGAGACTGAAACCAGGGCCTGTCCATGCTAACCATGCACTCTAGTATATCACTACACAGTCACTCCCCGGATCACATTCCTAGTAGTTAGAAATGTGATCCTAAAAAACATTTCAAATTAAAAACACTGAAATTACATTTATTTATGATAAAATATAACATACAATTTAAGGTAAATGTTACAAGTGAACAATTCAAAACTTTAAAACATTTCCAGCCAACATTACAATGCTTACAGGCAGCAGAGGTAGAGAAAGTTAAAATTCTGATATATAGCACAGGGTTTAATCAAGACTGTCCTGAGGTAATCGGTGATTTTAAAGTAAAGAGAAATAAAATTATTTTCTCCTATTATAAAGCTATTTTTCTTCCATGAATTATTTGAGATGAAACAACAGAATGGCATGGCTCAGTAAATACAACTATGATGCAATGGAGGAAGGTCATTGGTCACTTAATAAACTGCTTGGCCCTGATAGGTTAGAACATAGGCGGGTGGAGTAAACAGAAAAGAATGCTGGGAGGAAGAGGAAGTGAGCTCAGAGGTCATGCTCCCCTCTCCTCTCTGGGGCAGACGCGATGAAGCGCCGACCCAGGATGGACGTAGGCTAGAATCTTCCCGGTAAGCGCACCTCGGTGCTACACACATTAATAGAAATGGGCCAAGCAGTGTTTATATGAATACAGTTTGTGTGTTGTTATTTTGGGGCATAAGCTCGCCAGGCGGCCGGGAGCTGGGTGGCAGGAACGCAGCCCACAGCTCCTTCACCAATGATGAAATCTCAGTTTCACTGCTTTCATATGCCACTTGATCTGAACCGCAAATGTTGTGGTTTTCTGTAAATACAGTAGACCTTCCTTATTCACAGTTTCAGTTACCGAAGGTCAACTGCAATGTGACTCATTAAATGCAGAATTCCTGCCATCATTAATTCAGTTTTAAACAGTACAAAGCTCTGAGTAGCATGCCATTGAGGACCTGACCCGTCCTGTGTGCAGTCTGCCCGTGCTGTCTACCCCTGCCCTTCAGCTGTTACACTGATGACTGCTGTGCCCTACCCAGTGCATGTGCCCACCTAATCTCGGCCTCCAAGTGCAAGCACAGTGACTGATATCAGCTCTGAGATGCCAAAGGAAGTGCTAATATCTACAGTAAGAACCCGCGACCATGGAGAAGGAAAATGAAAGTCATGCTGGTTTTGCTTACACCTCAAACTACAAAACCGTCAGTGCTACAGGGTAAATCACAAAAGGCATTAAGCGTCTCTAGGTAAGTATAAGAAAAAGCCAAGGACACTGGTACTACACGTGCATTAAAATAATAAAGAACTGTACCCAACAGTTTGTAGGCATTCTACCTTAGGCCTACATGCTATTAAATAATACCGGTAAAATATGCACTGTAATGCTTTTAGATTAGAAATATACCTGCAAGTCTTCTGCCAGAATTCCAATTATATGTAAATTTAGGAACTGAAATTTTCCTATTTGTAAATATCTATGGTTACCTTTTTATGAAATGGCTTTTTATTTGCAGATGTGATTCTGGGTGGAGCTCATGACATTTATCACCTGCTTCCAAGTCCTGGGTTTTTTTCCTAAAACCTGGGGTAGAAACGGGGGGGGGGGGGGGAGAGAAACATAAAATTATTTAAATTATCTTACAGACTCTATCCTACTCAATTTTACATTTATGTAAGTAAGCTAATGAAAAATATGCAATCCTTTTGTGCAAGTAAAGAACAAAAGGCACATTCTTCAACACAACTAAAAATAAGACACCTGCCATTCCCCCCTCCACAATTTTTCTGTTTGTTTAATGAAATCTTTTATAAGCAAGAAGCAAGGCTACTTGTTCTTAGTATGTCGGCAATCCCAGAGCAGTGTTATTCTGGCTCATGGGTACTTCCCGGGGCATGTGCTTTACTGAGAAAATGTTACAGGACGTATCCTGCATCTGAAGACATGGTAACTCTAAGTAGGCCTATTACCATTACGGCTGCCTCCTTTATGCGATGAGAAGCCATTTGCCTTACCTCATGGGAATGTTTAGGGACATCAGTTGAATTAAAACGGTGGGATGGTATTAAAAAGCACAGAAGACAAACTCCTACCTATCAAGGCATATACATCAATTTTATTAAATTATTATCATCTTTGTGTACAAACAGACTTTGCAAGGCTCCATAACTTGCTCAAGATTATATTGGTAGCAAACGCAAAACTAGATCTGTATAATTCAAGCCTGTGCATTCCCTCTCCAGTGCTGGGGATGGATTTGAGGGCTTCTACACAGCAGGCAAGCACTCTACCATTGGGGCTCTACCCAGGCTCATGTCCACTCTCTTCTCTTGTGTGACTTAACTTACCCGCAATTCTAACAATGACTCAAGTATTTTTGAATGTTAAAGACATATGAAAAATAGCTTTACAATTTTATTAGATATTGTAAAGTAACACTGTAAATTCCAAATTCTAAATTCCTATTTTCCTGTTTAAAAAACTATTTAGTACCCGGGAGGCAATATTGTAGCATGTAAAAGACAGCAGCTCTCCCTCCTTCTAGTTCTTTCTAAACATCGGTTCTTGGAAGACTGTCCACTAGACAGGCCTTAACAATATTAATGTTCAGAGTAAAGTATCTGGACAGCCTTACTTAAAAGAGCTCTTAGTAATTTTCGCCTCTATTTGACTAAAAGCTAAAACCAAACCAGGAAGGTGTGCAATGAAGAGGCTGAGACACCTGCATTTTACAGCAGTTTACCCAAGGGCATCCTTGTTTCTGAAGCAAATGTTTGAGGAACCTGAGAATCTGAACAGCTAAGCACAGGAGATCTGAGACAGACAGGGTAACATAATAAAACTACAAGGACAAAATTATAGCCAAAACTCGGAAGTAACTTTGGAATTTAGTAAATTCCTTTGTGAATCCCCTGACATCAATAGCTGGAATTTGTGCTTATAGCAACCGTGTTGTTCACTGCCACACACCTGTGTTCTCAACAGAACCAAAGTTCAGTGAAGCACTGGAAGCTGGCTCAGAAGGTGACACCAAGTCTGAGGACGTGACTCTGATCCCTGGGGCCCACGAGACAGAGGGAGAGAACTTCCTCCCTCCCAGAAGCTGTTCCTGTGATCTCCAACTGTGGCCAGGATGTGTGCGTGCATGTACAAGAACATGTGTATGCAGATACGGATATATACGCACACACACACACACACACACACACACACACACCTACCATTGTTGGTGATATTATCAGTGGTAAAATTTAAGCTTTTAGATAAAATTTTGGAAAACTTGTATCTACTATTGTCATTTTTTCATCTTCCTAATACTCATATTCATGGTGATATTAATAAATAGCTAAGAATAAAATTTATCAATATCTTAAAGAATTGAGTAACTTAGCAAAGCAGATCCCCTTCCCCAAAATTTAGATGTTACAATATCATGCTCAATAAAATACCCTTTAAAGTAGAAGTATCAGTGATTTTAATGAGTGGTGTCTGAAATTTCACGGTTTATATTGCAAATATCCTTGACAAAATGACCATTTTGGTCTGTAGAGTCATAGAAGAGTGCTAGCCATTCCTAGAACAAACAACAAAACCTGACATTTCCCAGCTTCCTCTCTGTGTGAAACTGGACCTTCATAAATGAACGGTCCACACGCAAACTCCTGTAGGATGCGGTCAGGCATCACAGCCACTCACTCCTCTCCCCGGCTTGCTTTGTTTCTGGAAGCACTCTTTTAAAGTCAGACACTTCCCAACGGTTATCTAGGTTTGCCTTCATTCATCTTTCTGAAGCTTGATCTTCAGCTCCAAAGAATCTTGTTTATATCAGCATGTGCTGATTTTTCTCTAAGTAAACGAATACTTTTAAATTTTTCTTTCTCCATCATCAGCATAGGAAATGCTGACATAATCCTCAGAAACAAAATCTGCTACAGACCAATCCTGTTTTGAGATTATGAAGAGCTCCGAAACACAAAACTTGCCACACTTCCTGTCCTAGTTGTTGACAATAGTTTTGTTTTAAAAACGCCAGTGGTAACTATTCTGCCAACAATCCCCTTTCACATTGAGACAGGCTGGGGAGCTTAGCCAATGCTATACAGCTGGCAGGAGATGCCCAGTTAGGGGAAAGCCTCTGCTGTTCTCACTCCCTGTGAGCTCGCTTTTGCATATGGCATTAATCTCTAAGCCCCCACTCACCCATCGGCATGATGAAACTAAGACAGTAGTTTAAACATCTGATAACACGAACATTCTTTTTTCTTTTTTCATGTTTAAAGGTGCAGCTTAGGCAGGCAGGCAGGCAGGCAGGCAGGCAGGCAGGCCTAGAACTCATGATCCTCCTGCCCAGCCTCCTCTACACATCCCACCAGTATATGCCACACAACAATATTTTTAAACAAGGTAATGCCACAGAAAATACCCAACTACCTAGCGTTACCAGTTCGCTATACAATTGAGAATTCTTCTTCTCTTTTGTACTTTTATCTGTTCCCATTCATCCCCCTGTCCTAACTTATCTGTTTGTCACATCTATGAACTGAAGGCTACAAAGAAAGCAAAAGGAACATAAGCTTACAAATCACTGAGGTGCTCTGACTTAGGTGGCCTTTAGTCCCTAAATAGAACTTCTCGGTATTTTATAAAACAAACAAATCTGATCATTCTAAATTCAACTGGAAAGTACATTTGACTAAGATAAATGTTACTCAAAAAGGATCAATAGTTATGATCAGAAAGTTAAACTTTAGAAGTGACTTAAAGCCAAAGATTAGCATTATTTAATCATTGTACACTGATTAAAATTCATTTAACTTTGTGACCAATGAATACAAATATGGCTTGCAAATATATAATAAGCATTTTTAAAGAAACAGTTCCTTCCTTGTCCCGATTATTCACACACGAGGCAGCAGGAGGCAGCAGAGGGCTTATAAACATTTCTGAAAATTTAATAGCACTGTGGCAGGCATTCAACCCAGTGGTTTGAGTTCAGAATTCCAACTAACTTAAAAATAGATGTGTTATTTCTCCCTGCTGCTGACACAGACATCCACATGTCTTTACTGGGAGTTTTGGCTCCAAGGTCTTTATAAACCTGACAGTCCAATTTTAACGTTAACCCAGCACAGAAGAAACCTCAGTACTAAGGCAAGCGACTCTAACTCATGTTTACTGCTCCTGTAAGAATGACAGAACACAAAATTCCAGACGCTGATATATACGCTTTGTCTAAGGCTTGTGTCTAGAACAGGTTCATGGAGAAATACACTCACATGAGCCAAAACAGTACAATCTTCACTGGATGTAGTGAGGTTTAAAAACACAAAGCTAATTATTATAGTTCTCAACTTACATACTTATTTCAACTTATAATTACAAATGCTAAGCATTCAAGAATAGGAATCTAAACACTGACTTATTTACAAATAAAATGTAATTAAATATTTCAGGAGAATCATGAAACTTTTAACTTTCTAAAAATATTTCATCCATATACTAAAAAGATAGTGAGATAAGTTAGTATATAGCAATCTGTGCTACATAAGACCTAAGTTTTGTAATGTTATAAACTAAAACAGTAGAAGTTAGTTACTTCCTTTGTCACTGGAATTATATTTTAAGGAAAAAAAATTTGTTATTTTGTTATAAATGAATTCCAACACTACAAGTTTAGTTCTTTAAAAATGCATAGATTATATTTCATAAAAGTTCAGAAAAGATTAAAAACTAAAAGTGGCACAAAGAATATACAAATGCTCCTCAAATGATCAAATATTAACATTTAATACCCCTTTAAACACCAAAAAATAAGTTGTATACATTATAATCTAATACCTCAATGCTACCCCCATCATACCGCCATTTCTAATACTTCTTTATCACATAACTAATGACTTCTTGCAAAACCAAGCTGGTACTCTGAAGTTCTGTTTCATTTGTTCTTAAAGCTCTCCAACTCCTTGGTTCTTCTGTGCAGTGTCCTCTCCTGTTTTCTATTTTTGCAGCTACTGAGACTCGGACCCTTCAGCAGCTGCTCCTTCCAGAGGCTCTGACTTCCACTGTTTCTCTTACTCAGCTTCTTTGCTTTCTGTCCTCTCTTGTTTTGCAGTTCCCAGTCTTCCTGAATGATTGGTCCATATATAAGGTATTCAATACCACATGGAATGGTTACAAAGCACATTATTTTCTTGATTTCTGGACTTGGTTCTTCACTGAACAATAAAACCTTATTTATAGAGGTGATGAGCTCAACAACTTAAAGCTTAACACCATACCTGTCTTTCACTTCCCTCTTATTTTCCCAGTGTACCTGGTTATGCTAGCCCCAACATAGCTTCTTTCCTTTCTCATCATATATACCTACCCACTACACTCAGCTTATCTTCCTGGACATGGCTAATGCCTTAGTTCATGACCATATAGTTATCTTTTAGGTTAGGGCAAAATTCAGATAATTTTTCTCCATGCTCAAAAATTCACCTTTACACTGCTACCACAGAGCACAAAGCTGCAACCTGATATAGGTCCTATTAATTCCTCTGGCGGTCATCTCGTAACCTCCACGTCTATACCACTCCAGGCCTGCATCTGTCAACCTGTATGATCATTTCTGACAGCGTACTCTTTGCATGTATCTTTTTTATTGCATTGGAAAGAATTTGAAATCCCACTAGGAATTTAGAAGAGATGCTAGAAATTTCAAGTATCATTATGGCAACTTTAAGAATATCCTTGTATCGCAGCAGAACTCATGATATGGTGATAAGGCTACAAGAATCTCTAGTAATAAAATGCTGATGTCCTTGACTGGTCTTGACAGGCACTCACACACAGGGCAGATATTCACAGACACACACAGGAATGCAAAAGAGTAAATTTCAAAAACAAACAAAAAACCAGACAAACCACCATAGGGTGTGGCAGCACTAAAAAGTGACTGTGAAGAGGTTCCCAGTAACAGTGTTTACAATAGGTAAAAGGTAGCAACAACTCAAATGTGCATCAACCAATGGACATACAGCAACAACAGACATGCCATCATGGATGGGGAAAGCCCAGGCGGCCTGGAACGGTGAGAGCAGGAGAAACAGGCTCACCCATGAAGAACCCACCGATTGGTTATCCAGTACCAAATGGTCAGCTTGGAAAACATGTAAATAATATTCTAGACTCAGCAGATTGTATTTATGTACTTAGGAAGATACATGTATGTATACATATGCTTATAATAAAAAAAGGCATCCATGGATTTGAAAAAAAGCAAAGAGGGACACGTGAGAGCTTGTAAGGAGGACAGGGAAATGGGAAGTGATACAATTATGTTATTATCTCAAAAAATGAAAGAAAATGACGTTCTCACATGTGTTACAGCATGGATAATCGCTGGGGTCATTATGAATAAAATGGCCCAGATACAAAGGATATATAAAAACCTATTTACATGAGGCACCAAGAACAGCCAAACTTGGTGACAAACAAGCCAAAAGAACCAGAGTGACAATTACAGTTTAATTTCTTGAGGGGAGAAGAGGAAGCTGTTTAGTGAGCAGAAAGCTTAGCTTTCGATTAAAGAAGTTTGGGAGATGGAGGCGGTGATAGCTAATGACACATAAAAATAAACTAGAATCATAAGTTTTGTTAAGTATTCTTTACTGAACACTGATGTTCAATGTGTAAAGTCGCTGCGAACAATAAGGTCTTCATCACGGAGATCGCCATGACCTTGTGTTTTCACACCCACCAGGAAACGAAGAACATTCCCTGAACTTGCAGTTATTGTTCATTTCACTGACCTCTGCTGTGATTTCTGGCCAACCTTTTACAGTTTCCTGTAATACTTGTTACTTAGACTTTTATCGGGTTTTTAAAGCAAGCCAGGCATTTTACTATGGGAAGGGAAAGTTACTTCCTTAATATAAAGTGTTTCCTCCTGATAGCAAACATTTGATGAAAACAAAATAAATTATCAAATAATCATTTTCAAGGCCTGTAACCTGGAAAATAAACTCCACAAAAACCTTAAGGAGGATAAGGACTAAAATGTTTGATGTTTGGCTCTTTATGGCTGTTTACTGTGAAAAGGGACTCTCTCTGTCTGAATTCTAAAACTTCAAGTGTTCTCGTGCATCTCAGCAGCCCAGCCCCTTTCCTCCCCCATGGGCCCTCACATTTGTCTGGCTTATAAGCGGCTGTATATTTAGGAAGTCACATATAATAGAGCGGCACCATCACGTATTATTTCCAAACTGATCCTTTTCTGATGACTGCTTGTCAGTCGTTCTTAAGTCTATGGTATCATTTCCGCTATTATGCGCACTTCCCCAGCTCTAGGCATTTGTAAACTACACTCCATTCCCCCTGCTATCATTACAGCTATCACACACACTTAATTCAGCTCTAGGGATTTCTTAGAACTCACATTCCATTCTTAAAATGAGGCCTCCTTCTAAGAGTTACCTTAGACAATGGGGAGTGAGCAGAAGAACATGTGCCACCTCTAGTGTGACCTTTAGACCTAGAGATGGTTTTCCATGCCGTACGTTCCTTTCATTCCTACAATTACAGTACTGCTTGTATGAGGCCTTGACTGATACATTGCACAGATATGAACAAGGTATAAACCTATGACAAGACACTGAAATCTTGAAGCTAATACCACACAAGTGTTATAGTTAATACTCCCAAACTGACAGAATCTAGAATCGCTTAGGAAACATCTCTGGACATGAATATAAAGACTGGGGGACTGAGGTAGGAAGACATACACTAAATATGGGCAGCACCATTCCATGGACTGCAGCCTAGACTCAATATGAGCATTCATCTTTCCCTGCTTCCTGGCTGCAGATGCAATGTGTCTCAGCCACCTCAGCTTCCTGTGGTCGCCCATCCTCGCCATGCTGAGCTCTAATACTCTCAGAGTGTAAGCCAAGATGACTCAAGTCGCTTCGTCAGGTATATCACAGCAACACGAACACTGACTAACACAGTAAGCTAGAGCCTGTGTACCCTATTGATGTTTCTCTTTCTCACTGCCTAGAGTAGCTAATGCCATCCTTTAAAGGCCTTTGAGCATGAACTTCCCTTATAGCAGGGAGACCAGCTCTGGCTTGCCATTTGGTGAGGGTATCTGGTATCTTGGTCTCAGTTCTGGTTCACAATTTAAAGCAGGGGGCCCATTATCTACATTCTGGCCTCAGTTCTGGTTTGCCATCTGAAGGTAGGGAGTGCAAAGACATCAGTCCCCACCCTAGGTCACCGGACAAGGTTAGGTAATCAGCAGAGAATCAGTCTCCCCCAGTACTATTTCCCTCTACAGCTCTTCCTTATTTATAGACTACACAGTCACTGTGGCAAGCCACTCTGGGTCCTCACTGTTCATGTCCTCCACATCCTGTCCAAACTGTCCCCTCCAAAAACTACAAAGCCCAGAGAAATGACCTAACTAAAATTCCTGACACACAATTCAAATAAACAATTTAAAATATGTTCACATAACTCAAAGAGGACATGAATATATTCAAGAACACAAACAGCTGGATAAAACGAGGAAGTCAATTCAGGATACTAATAGAAGTCAATAAGGAGATAGCAATATTGAAGAAAAATAAATCAAAATGATAGAAATTAAAATTACAATAGGTGAAATAAAAGTTCACTGGAAAGCTTAGCCAACAGAATGGATCATGTGGAGAAGAAGACTTCAGGACTCGAAGGCAAAAGAAAGGAACAGGATTACTCAGTCAAGGTCAATGATAAATTTTAAGATTATATATGCATATATATATAAATTATTTATACACTAAGTTAGATAAACAGAAAATCTTTGGAACACCATGAAAAGCAAAACTGATGAATTATGAACACAGAAAGAGAATAGGAAATACTTTCAATAAAATCACAGAACATTTCCCAAATCTTGTGAAAGAGATACCCATCCAGATATAAGAACATCATATAGATAGGACAAGAATATCATATAGTTAAAACACTGAATATACAGGACCAAGTATGCTAAAAGCTGCAGGTGATAAGGGCCAACCTACAAATTAAGACAAGTCCATCAGAATAATTGCTGACTTCTCAATGGAAACTTTAAAAGCCAGAGAACCTGGAAATATATAACTCAAATTCTGAAAAAAAAATTACCACAGCTAAACCAGTTTAATATGTCTAGCAAAACTATCTATACTAAATGAAGGAGAAAGGAAAATTTACCATTACGAAAGCAAGCTAAAGGAATTTATCACCCAAGTCTAAGTCCTACAGGATACCTGAAAGATCTATTTCAGACAGAAAGGAAAGATAAGAGGTTCATAGAAAAAAACAAGAAGGCAGTAGTTTCACAAAATGACAAAAAAAACAAAACCCCTAAAAAAACCAAACCTACAAAATCAGAATGAAAGGAATCAATACATACTTTTCAACAATAATTCAATATTAATGATATCAATGTTCTTGGCAAAGACAATGTAACAAATTGGATTAGAAAATTTCCTTCTGTTGCTTTCTTTTCTTTCTTTCTTTCTTTCTTTCTTTCTTTCTTTCTTTTTTTTTTTTTTTTTCCGAGACAGGGTTTCTCTGTAGCCTGTCCTGGAACTAGCTCTTGTAGACCAGGCTGGTCTCGAACTCACAAGAGAACCGCCTGCCTCTGCCTCCCGAGTGCTGGGATTAAAGACATGTGCCATGGATCATGTGGTCCTTCTGTTGCTTTCAAGAAATGTACTTTGCCATCAAAGATAATGTCTTAGGATGGAAGAGTGGAAGAAGTCTTTCTCAGTGGGAGGTCTTTCTGTAAATGTGTTGTTTTTATTGGTTGATGAATAAAGCTGTTTTGGCCAGTAGCTTAGCAGAGTAAACCCAGACAGTAAATCCTAACAGAGATAGAGTAGGTGGAGTCAAAGAGAGGCCATGTAACCTCCGAAGGAGAAAGATAGATACCAGAACATTACCTGTAAGCCATAGCCTCATTGAGAAAACACAGAATAATGGAAATGAGTTAATATAAAATGTAAGAGCTAGCTAGGAATAGATATAAGTCTTTGGTCAAACAGTGTTGTAATTAATATAATTTTTGTGTGATTCTTTGGGTCTGGGTGGCTAGGAAACAAAAGAAGTCTCCGTTTACAATGAACAGGATGTGGAAGTATAAACCAAATAAATCTTTCCTTCCCAAGTTGCTTGAGCTGTGGTATTTCATCACAGCAATAGAAACACTGACCAAGACATAGGTATATCATAACAGCGAACAATAAATCATTGTAATTCACTCTTTACTGAAACCATCAGGCATATAAGTGCAATTTTTACCTTCTAAGTGGTCTTTGCTCTGATGAGATATACACTCCACACTGTTCATATTTAGACTGCTCATCTTAATCTGTTCACTGGAAAAGAAGACACACACACCAAGAACATCAGTTATTGTGGATTATCTTTTTTTTCAAGAAAAAGGAAATAACATTTGTTAAAACATTACTGCATGCTATTCTAAGAACTTAATGTAATGTTTGTTATTGTTCTATTTTGTTTTACAGTTCCACAATCCTCCTGCCTTTGCCTCTGAAGTGCTACAATTAGTGGCATGGCTCAATGCATATTATTTATTTATAGCTTATAGACACTTGAATGTAGTTATACTCCTTATAATGAAAAATTGGTTTGTAAATCAAATTAATTTGCCCAATAATTAAGATGCACATTTCTGTCTTTAGAAAGTCCTGTTCTTTCTACTATGTGTTACTGCATTTCCAGAAGTGTACGAAATTTAGTACTAAGAAAAAAGTTCCTTTAATTCTTGATGGAAACAATTATTTTAGCTAAGCATAAGCAGCTGATTTGTATAAACCTAATTTTTTAAAAAATGAATCAATGTGGTCAAGCACTAGGTAAAATTAAGTATGTTTTTGGAAAATTAAAAACAGGAAAACATAGTAAGAATGATTCTAAGAAAACCCACTAGACTGAAAGCAAGCATGTTTGGGAGATTACAGAGAGGAATGTACTATTGATAACAATAAAAAATTATGTATTTAGAGTTAATGAACTGATCACAAATTTATTTTGCTCAATTACTTTATACTTGCTTCCATGGAACTGTGTTATAGGTAACAGAAACTACCCAGTTCTGAGATACAAATGTGTATGTGTATGTATGAACATGTGTATGTATGAATATGTGACAATATGAATGTGTATGTATGAATGTGACAATGAATATATATACACACATATATATACACACATGTAATATAATATATAATATATTATCTCTGACGCATATATTTTACATATAAATAATTCAACAATGAATTCAAAGAATTCACCAATCAGTTTAACTAAAATACCAATTTAAGTCAACACTTTAAAGCCTTTACTAAAAAATCAATAGTTGAGAGGAAAAGCTGGCTCGATGGTGAAGAGCGCTGGCTGTTCTTCCAGAGGACTAGTTCAATTCCCAGCACTCACATGGCAGCTCACAACTGTCTGTCACTCCCAGGGCTCCAACACCTTCTTCTGGTCTCAACAGGAACCACATATATTTGGCGCCAGACATACAAGCCAAACACCCCCCAGCCCCTCCCCCCCACAAAACCAAATGAGTTTATTTTTAAAAATCAAGTTGATAATAATGAAAATAAAGCTATACATTTGTAGTTTTCAAGTTTCCTAGAAACAGAGAGCTGTTATTTTAAAGTCAGGAAATAAATATTAAAGTTGACAATATGAGCTGTCAAACAAGCTGCAATATCCTAAGTCTCTTCACTCTAAATTCACATCAAACACAGACCTGTAAAACTACTTCAAACAATTACCAAGGAAGATGGTGAGTGCAGGGAGGCAGCACGGAGGAAGACGGCTTACCGTCTTTACGAGCAAATCAATACAATGAAGTAAAAGCATATATCTCACTTGTCTAAGTTCAGTCCAAAATTTACATAACAGTTTTAAAGCAGGAAAACATCTCTAAAAAAAGATAAAGAGGGTCTGGAGAGACAGCTCAGCATATAAAGACACTATTTGCTCTTCCAGAGGACCAGAGTTGAGTTCACAGCATCCTTGTGAGATTTGGTTGTAACTCCAGCTCCAGGGGATTCATTTTTGGCCTCCATGGGCACACACACAGTAAAATTCCCACAAAAAACCCACTATATTATATATACACAAATAGAAGAATAAAATTAAAAAATAAAACAATAAAACCCAAATAGTGAGGGAGAAATTGTTGATCTCTATTACCTGAAGGCTTTAACAGCAGCGGTCTCCATTACTGTCCCACTTCCATCAGTACCAGGTGAGTCCAAATTAGCAGATCCATTACTGACATGATCGCTGCTTTCATACCCAGACTCTGTCCTTTGCACCTGCCAGCTGTTACCAGGACCTCTGCTCTCTGTGGGGCTTGTATTTTTCTCTGTTCCTTTCCCATTAGTTTCCAGGGAACTTCGGCTTCCTGTTTCCTGCTTCATTTCATCTTCGTAGATGGTCATTAACCCCTTCTGCTTTAGGTTTGCTTTTGGCCAGTTCGTGAAACTCTGATCCTTGCTATATTTAGGTCTGCTACTGACATCTGACTTATGCCTAGGACTATGCTGCCTTTTTTCACTTTCACTAAAAACACTATCAACATTTAATGTTTCTCTCATAGGTTTCCAGGCACGGTGGCGGTTTTTAGTCCTGCTACTGCAGCTGCTTCCTTTGTCCCTTGAATCTTGACTGCTGTCGGTATCATATCCAGTGCCACTGTCACTCCTAGCCTTGCCTGTTGTTCTCTCTCCAGGAACAAGAAGATTCTGGGGTTTGCTTGAGCTGAACAGTTTCCCAGAAGTGTGGCTCTCATGGGCAGCTCGGTCATGTTTGCAAGGTCCTTTGCCTTGGCTATGGTAGAGATGGGGGCTGCCCTGTTGTCTAGAGCCATCCAGGGCAGGAGGTGATCCAGATTTGAGAGGTGAGACGTCTTCATCAACCAAATCTTAAAAATAATAACAGCACATAGACACACATCAACCTCCTCTCACAGCAGCTCAGTGAACACAAGCTAAACAACTTGTTGGAAATGCTAAACCCATCACATGTAAATAATAAAAATCAAAATATATAAAGCTAAACCCATCACATGTAAATAATAAAAATCAAAATATATCATTTTTCTATTTAGTATAGAAACATTCAAGAAATCAAACTGACAAACATGCAAATACATAAAATGTAAATATACACTGTATACTATAAAACTCCGTTTTAAAATAAGATTTTTGCTGGTTCTTTCTAAAGTGAATGCTCCAAGAGCTAACTTACCCCTGTGCCGGCCTGTGTCTTTCCTTTGTCCCTTTTCCAAATCTTTCCGTTGAGAAGAAAGTGCATTTTTCTGTTCAATGGCTTTGAGAGCACATTCTCGGGAAATATCTTTTATCTTTTCTCTTTGATCATTGCTTAACTTAACTGTAAAAAAATATTCTTATAATAATACACAGCATTTTTTCAAGTTGTTCAACAAAAGTAAACCCTGAATTAAAAAAGAAAAAAAAAACTATACTTAAAAAAGTCATGGAGCAGAGAGATGGCTCAGTGGGATGGGGCCCTTGTTGCCAAGCCTGACAACCTCAGTTCAATCCCTGGGACTCATATGATAGAAAGAGAGAAGCAATTCCCCAAAGTTGTCCTCTGACCTTCACACACACACACTGTGTCGTGCACATGTACATACACAGTGTACACACTCGCACATGCACACACATGTACATACACAGTGTACACACTCGCACATGCACATGTACATACACCGTGTACACACTCGCACATGCACACACATGTACATACACGGTGTACACACTCGCACATGCACACACATGTACATACACGGTGTACACACTCGCACATGCACACACATGTACATACACGGTGTACACACTCGCACATGCACACACATGTACATACACGGTGTACACACTCGCACATGCACACACATGTACATACACGGTGTACACACTCGCACATGCACACACATGTACATACACGGTGTACACACTCGCACATGCACACACATGTACATACACGGTGTACACACTCGCACATGCACACACATGTACATACACGGTGTACACACTCGCACATGCACACACATGTACATACACGGTGTACACACTCGCACATGCACATGTACATACACAGTGTACACACTCGCACATGCACACACATGTACATACACGGTGTACACACTCACACATGCACACACATGTACATACACGGTGTACACACTCGCACATGCACACACATGTACATACACGGTGTACACACTCGCACATGCACATGTACATACACAGTGTACACACTCGCACATGCACACACATGTACATACACAGTGTACACACTCGCACATGCACACACATGTACATACACAGTGTACACACTCGCACATGCACACACAAATGTAATTTTAAAAATCAAACTACATAAACTCATTTTTATGCTTAACTAAATGTTCAGCATGATTTTTCTTGACATTGGAAAACCACATTTTCTTTGAATACATTTTATATAGTATTTAGGGAAAGCATTGTAAATAAAAAAAGATGAAAAGTGTTATTGAATAAAGAGGCAGAAAGTATTTTCCATGTTCTAAGTATTCTTATTTATTTAAATCTCTGAGGCAGGTACCATAACAATCTCCAATTCGTGTGAGATATAAAGCTGGTCAAAGTTTACAAAGCTGTGTGACTTCATGCTGTCTTGTACCACTGCACAGGCTACCTTGAACTGGTCAGTAGAAATATAACTCTCAGAGAAATGCATTCCTGAGCCAGGCAAGGCAGTTTAGCCTTTCTGTTCAGTTCTTACCAGGAGATACAGGTTCAGTAAGTGAGTAAGAAAGAGCGCTCAATTGTTTATGAACCATGTACACGAGGCAATGGAAACATACCTGGTCCTCGCCTTCCGCTTGTCTGCATTTGCGTCCGATTAAATGATGACGTATCAGTTTGAAGTTTGTGATTTTCTCTTTGTTTAGCCTGACCACTAAATCCGTTTTCCTTTGCGTTATCTGGTTTGTAACTGATAGGCTTTCCACATCCTTAAAAAGACAGTTAAAGATGCATCATTCCTTTCCTTCCCATTAGAAGATGTTTAAATCACCTTTTCAGACATTTTAAATACTCTAGATAAAATAACTTAACGCTTACAGGGCTGATACCACTCGGGGATTGTATGCTTTGCTGCTTTGAACTTTCTGATCACTAAACCATTTACAATCTCAGAGTTAACCCCCACCAACTAGCCTCTTCTGTGTTATGGGTGTATCACACTGGGTGATTCCTAAAAGGGCTTCTGAGGCTACTGACAGGGAAAGGTTTCTTTGAAAAGATCAACAAAATATAGTAGAATTATTTTGAATTTTACCTGACTGAAACTCAATCTTAAAATATTCTCAATATTCATGCTACATTCAGCATTAAATGTTAGTTATTTTATAGTAGAAAAATACCAAAAAAATCCAAAGAATTACCCATATTTTCTGCAACCGATTTGTAATGTGACCAGTGGACAACCTGCCTGAGTGCATCCTCAGTCGAGACTGCTGTGCCATCTGGGTTTGCGTAAAACAGCAGAAGTGGCTGTAAGTGGCATCGTATGCACTTGGAGACTACATCTTTCCATCTACTTCCAATCTTTAAAGAAAAAAATCACAAAATAAAAACAAGAATTAATTCCTGAAGTGTGGAACACAAACAGGCAGAAACTGAATTAATTCACATTTCAAAGGCTTTCAATTGCTAACAATTCAAGTACTATGAGTAATTTTAATAACTAGCCCAAATAAAAGTTTTACAGATCCTTTTTTTTTTCTTCCAGATTCTCATTTTTAAAAAACTTGATAGGCAAGAGCCAATGAGATGGCTCAGTGGTAAAAGACTCTCGCTGCTAACCCTGATGACTTGGGCTTGCTCCTCAGGACCCACAAGGTAGAGAGGGAGAACTGACTCCCAATGGACTCTCCTCTGACCTCATACAATATTGTAGTATGTGTGTTCTCCCTCCCCAAATGTACATACAATAAATGTAAAGAGGCAAAATGATACTTTCTGTACTAATATTTAATAATTAAATTTTATTTATATACACATCTCAACCTGTACCTGGTTGAACTCATGGCAATCATAGTTCAGCTTGTCAAGGGCTGGAGTTACAGGTGTGAGCCAACATGTCTGGCCTAATACTAAATTTTAAGCAGCTTTTCATATATATCATTTAACAAAGCATCCAAGGCAGTTCAATAGAGACATATAAAGGAGTTTATTCAACAAATGGTGCTGGAAGGCTGGACAGCCCAAAGAGAAAGCAACTTCCACCCAAAGTTCATAAAAATAAACATCAGCTCAGAAAACTAAAGAGAAAATCTTTACCAAACAAACTCAGAGAAGAAAAAAAAATGGAAAATGGTCTTCATCAACTTAAGTAATAATATCTGTTTTGGAAAGATGTATCACTATGAAATGGAAAGTAGCCAGATGTATTGGCACATTCCTTTAATCCTAGCACTAAGGAGGCCAAGGCAGGGCATCTCTCAGAGTTCAAGGCCAGCATGGTCTATATCATAAGTTCCAGGCCAGTCAGTGCTACTTAATGAAACTGTCTGAAGAAGAAATTGAAAGTAAACATAAAAATAATAAAGGACTTGTGCATAGAACAAAGAAAATCCTAGAATTCAATAAGATATTCCAATTTGAAAAACTGGCAGAACATTTGAATAGACAACACATACAAACACACACACACACAGTCACAAACACACAACCAATAAGCACATAGGAAGAATGCTCAAATTACTATTAACCACAAGGAAAAACATCTAAACATTATAGTGAGATGTTTTATTCACAGTATTCCAAGAGCTAGTTTGAGCTACACAGTAAATTCCAGATTAGATTGGACTGTAGTGTGAGGCACTGTTCCAAAAAAGTGAAAAATTTATCAAAAGATATAACATATATGATCTAACTCCTTATTATATAGACACAATTTGAAAGGTAGTGCATCGAACTGCCTCTACCCTAAAACATACTATTCTAGAAATGGACTGGATTAAAACTTAAGTTGCAAAAGAACTTAAATTTTAAATAATTTTAACAGTAGCTTATCTTTACATTCATTAATCTAATAGTTACAGTTATAATTGTTATTGTGTATTTCTAAAGTATAAAAAAGTACAGTGATTGCTGCAGTTAGAAGGTCTCACCTCCTTCACGTGTGCATCGTCAAAGAACACCCACTTGGCGCTCTTGGTATGAAAAGCAAAGGCACAGTAGTGTCGGCTGGTGTAACAGATCATCCCAACAAGGTGAAGCTCGCTGTCTGTGGCATTTTCATCAGTCACCCTATAAAAAAGCTATTTAAAAACATTAATGTATATTTACTATCGTCTCTTTAAGAAGAGAAACAGTGAATGACAGATTTGAATTACTATGAAAGCATCTCACAGACAGCCTGGCCTTCGCCACCGTTCCTCCCGAGGCATGGCTGACAATGAACTGTGACAGAGCACTTCCAGTCTGCAGGGAACCTTAGGTCCCACACGCTGAGTCCCTATGCATTAGTGCAGTAGGTTTCTCTAGCGACACACAAATGACACTTAACCTAAACCCCAGATGTGAGATGACGTACACATTCTCAATTAGATAACACATCGGAAGAAACACTAAAGTATAACTGTTTAAAATCTTAATTGAAACAATAACAAACAATATAGCAATCAATTTTTAAAACCAAGTATGTATACATTGATTAATTTTAAACCTTAAGCCCTTCCTAGATTAGAATTTATCACATTCATGTCCAGTGGCATCGATCATCATTCCAAGGAGAAGGGGCATGAGATGGTTTAGTTTGTAAATTGAGTTATTTCTAGTCTATGGACAAAGGTATTATGCTTTGTCTGCCTTAAAATCATCTTCATCAGAGCACATCTGGATATCAATATTCCTTTAAAAGATTTAGGTTCTGATGAACAAAACTAAAAATCATGATATATGAAACATCAGAAAGGAATTTAAAGGCAGCAGGGAAAGGCACAAAGAGTTGTGATACCCCAGGAAGGTAGAGATGTGTGGCTAGGCTTCGAACAACATCTTCAGTTAAGTCAGAGTGCTCAGAATCCCAGACTAGTCCAATGGTAACAATCTCCGGGCAATTCATTAAAACACGGCGAATTTTTATTTTTTGGCCACAGTTACTCTAGAAAAAAACAAATGCAAAGAATAAGCTTTTAAATTACCAATTACTATATATAGCCTATATTACATAATGAAAATCAAAATGTATCTGAAATTTGTTTTTTCAGTTTACTAGAAATTGACTTCTAACCAGCTATTTGTCTTTACTCATTAAGCAAGAACTTAATTTTAACACATTTGGTATTTTTAGATGTGTTAAAACAAATATTCATCCTGAAACAACAACAAACACAGGAAGAAAACCCTCAAGGTTGCTAGCAGCTAGATAGATGGTGTTTAGGAGGCTGAGCCAGCCTGGACTATGGCATTACAATCTGTCTAAAAACGCTGAAGTCATTAACAATACTATGGAAAAAAACCTCACTTCTCACATTTACTCAAAGTAACAACAAAAATGATTCCTCTGCAGTTATATGATAAATTTCAGTGCTTTATTATAATGAATCCAATGGATGCACACTCTTAGTATTCAGACATCTGCACTGACCTGCCCTCGGGGTTCTGACAGGCTATGCCCTCAGCCGCAGCAGCCACTAAGAGCACCTCCTGTGCAATTCACTACGTTCCCTTTAAAAGGGCCCTGCCCACCTCCCATCTCTCTCTTCTCTCTCTGTCTGCTCCTTTTTCTCTCCTCTCCTCCCCTCCTCTCTCTTCCCCTCCCCTCCTCTCCTCTTCTGCTGCTCCTGCCCCCAGAGGCCAGCCTCCCCTCCCCTTCCCTCTTTTTATGCTCTCTTTCCCCTAGTAAAAAACCCTCCATGTGAACTCTGCAGCAAGGCATCTTTCTCTCGCACGCTGCTTATTAGACCAGGAATCAAACCCGGGTCACAGTGTTAAGAGCACCAAATCCTAACCGCTAACTCAAGTGATCTCAGTTTTGGCTCAATCTCCCAAGCAGCAGGGATTACAGATGTGAACATAGTTAAAGAGTTTTAAAAGTAACAGTGCTAAGATAAATAGCTCATGTGATGTAAAGTTATCTCCAATATAATTAAATAAAGAAAAATTTTTATACATGTACAATCAGTATTTGCATGGTAATTTCTGAATGCAGATTCTCAAGTTTAGACATAGAAGTACACTAACATCCTCTAAGTGTACTTACAGGACACTTCCGATAGTCATCTGCTGTATTCGCTGCTTGCAGCAATTCCGCAAACATCTCTGGTTTAAATCGCTCATGCCTTTCCATCATTCTGTCAACTTCATTGCTACAAAATAGTAGGAGTTTTAATCTAGCCTAGCCTATAAACTTACAACACATCTATAAATTATACTTAAAAGTGGGTATTAGTATATACTGATAGGTGTGAGTTACTTTTCTGTCTGAAAAATTAACCATACAATAAAAAATTACTAAATTTGGAAGGTGTATGAAATATTAAAGACAAATATAGAACCCTATGAGATTTTCCCTTTTGAGCTGTTATCCAATTTAGCCAAGGCTGGCCTAAACTTGAAATTCTCCCACCTAAACCTCCCAAACACCTGGTTTACAGGTCAACATGTCCAGTTAAGCTTTTGTTTAGGACTTCCTGGACGAGGATAAAACGTTCTGTATGGAAGTGGTCCTAATGTAAGTGTTTTGCTTATCCTATTAATTAGCAAGTAGGAATTTGAATTTAGATTCTACCCTAAGGAGCACAAAATTGAAGAAAAGTTTCTTTCCTTAGCCCAAAGTTCCCAAAGGCAAAGCTAGCATTTCAGCTGGGGGATGCTGACTCCACCAGCAAAGTCACTTAAGTGCTGCACTTGTGCCTGTCGCTTCTACTGTGAACACTACCGGCTGCGTCAGAGCTGGGACAGACATTTTCCTGTATTACTGGGTAACTGTCCCACCTTTGAAAACATCAAGGCATGTGAAACCTTAACACAAGTCTTCTCTTTTTGAAAAGCATTTTCAAAAGGAACTGGTGAAGGTCAAACAGCATCACTACTTTCCACAGACGTTCCAGTTCTACTCGATGGTACTGTAACTACTTTGTATATGCTTCACAGCTCCATGGTTTAAAATTCACAGTATTCAGTAACCAGAGTACTCCCTAACACACTCAACAGGTAAAGAACACACGAAGAGTCTGATAAGCATTCAAATTGCACGTGGCAGTTTTATAGTATAGGGTAACTGTTCCTTCTGCAATCAGATGTGGGTTTCAATCTTAATCCACCCTCCTGCCAGATAAATTTACCAAATTAAGCTTATTAAATTGATAAAGGACTTGCAAGCAACTTTGACTGACTGATGTTACATAAAATCTAGGATAGGTTTTGTATCTTATCTAGGTCCCTGTTTCATGAAGAGGGAGAGAGAGGAGCTGGCAGACAGGCAGTAGGCACGGCAGAATTTTAAGGTGACTGGTGAGGTCTCAAATAAAAGAACCTACATAAGGATGATGTCCATGCTTTCCTTTCTTTTTACTTCATCCCAGCTTTGACCATCATAAAGGAGACAATGAAAGTGGTGGGAACCACGGCCAATACAAAGGGAACATCTTAGTAAAGACAAGGTAAAGGTCAGCTCAGTTACCAGCGAGTGTCTCATTTCTAGCTCATTCACAGTTCCAAAAGTCTGCTATAAATATAATCTGTACATTTATAGTATAAATTGTATAAATTCTGTACATTTCATTAAATAATGCATTTAGTCTGAAATGCTCCAAAATCTGAAATTTTTTTGAGTGTTGAAATCATGTTATGAATGGTAAATTCTAAACCTAAGTTTATGCAACAGGTCATGCTTAAGATGCAGAATCTCTATAAATACTACACAAAATTACTATCAGATTATGTACATAAGGGAGGTATTAAAAAAAATCCCATTTTTAGACTTGGGTTCCACCCCCACGATACTACATATTACATATCTGCAAATATTCCAAACCGAAAGTTGAAACTTTAGCCAAGCACACATGCTAAGCCTCTCGCTCTTGTGAAAGCACACTTGACAGTGTCACACGAGGAAGCGCACACTGTTATAATGATGCAGAATAAATGTCACCGTGCGTAAACGTGCTCTTGGGCTCTGTTGAATGTGTCTGAGAGGTCTTACCACAGGGCCGTTGTAGAAATGTACCGCACGAACTCTGTGAAGGGCAGAGGGTCTGAAGACGCTCCACAGCTGCGGCACACGCACTACAGGCAAAAACACAGGCTTACTCTATCGGTCTCAAGACAGAAGTCTGGGTCTAACCAGATAATCAGGACACTTCACCTGTTCATACAGAGTCATGGCAAACTTCTGATGAGTGACACAGGATTTAGATGTGCACATGTCTGCATCCCGGCTTGGCACCAGGTGAAAATGAATCCTTGCCAATATATTTTCCTAATTAAAAAAATTCAGAAAACACAAACAAAATAACTTGCTAAGTTGCTCATCTTGCAGAGAATACTTTGATATATAACTGCTTTTAACCAAATCCTTTCCATGTGTAAATGTATCAATGTCACAAATGTTTTTCAATTTTCCTCTACAATCACTTCAAATGTTCATCTTCTACAGTACTAGCTTTAAAAAAACTAATGGGAAAAAAAAAACACTTAAAGTTTTATTTTAAATACCAATCAGTGGTTGTGGTCTAGAATTCAATATCAGAAACATTTCCTACATTACCAGCATTCTCTTAATACGTAAAATCAGGTAAACGTTTTTTAAGAAAGTGTATCTATGTGAGCGCACGTGTGTGTGTGAGCGTGTGTGTGAGCAGATGCACGTGCGTGTGGAGGCCAGAAGACAGCTTCAAGTGGCATCCTTTGAGACAACGTAAGACACTGGCCTGGAGCTCACCCATGAAGCTAAGGTGGTAGCCAACGAGCCCCAGACTCTCCTCCCTCTGCCTCCTTAGCTCTGGATTGCAAGTGTGTTTGAGCATGATGGGCAATTTTACATAGAACTGAGAAACTCAGGTCCTCAACTTGTTAGGTAATCCAACTCGGCTATGTTCCCAATCCTAATTACCGTTTTATATTCCTACTTGGACCAAATAGTCTATATAACTTAAGGGACTCAATGGCTTTAATTATACCATAATTCATGCAATGTCCTTTGCAACAAATCAATAAAATTTCAAATTTATACCATGGATCAGTAAATGGCAATCTTTTTTTTCCCTAAGAATAGATCTTTTACTTGCTATAACCCTTGGTACACCTCCTTCAGGCAGGGAGTCCTAACATGCACTATTCTTACCTACCCACTCTGAGAGCTCCTGACCTATGCCTAGTCAGACAGACTAGATTCCCATTACAACTCAACTCCACCCATATGGGCCAGCTTTACCCATCTCCATTCCAAACACCTGGTCTCCTCTCTAGGGAGACTCTAGGTTCCTGTGCCAACTCCACGCATCCCTACTACCCAAGGACCACTCTCTCTCTCCAGGGAAGAGTACTAGACTCAAACCAGCAATGCCACCCACCCCCAAAGCTTGCTAAGGATCTTGTAGCCAGCGCCTGCCTTCCAGCCCTCCACTCCTGGCCTTCCTCTTCATAGAGTGATCCTACACAGTCACCATCAATCCCACCAGCACCCACTACCTGAAGCCTTTTCTAGACTCCTGGAGGTTGACTGTGAGCATCCTAGGCCTGTACAGAAGGTCTGCGGCTGTTCTAGGTAGGAAATATACTTGAACTCATTAGCACAGTAAAGACCTTATAAACAGAACACCAATAGCACAGGCATTAAGAGAACAATTAGCAAATGGGGCCTCAGGAAACTAAAACATCTGTAAAGCAATGGGCACCATCACTCGACTAAAGAGGCAGTCTGCAGAATGGGGATAAAAACTTTACTAGTTATACATCTGAGTTAGGATCTAGAATATATAAAGAAATCAAAAAAATAAACAAAAAAGCAAAAAACCCAATTTAAAAATGGGCACAGAACTAAACAGTTCTCAGAAGACAAAAAAAAAAAAAAGGCTGAGAAACACTTTTTGGTTTTTTCTTATTTCTTTTCTTTTCTTTCTTTTTTTTTTTTTTTTTTCAAGACAGGGTTTCTCTGTAGCTTTGGAGCCTGTCCTGGAACTAGCTCTTGTAGACCAGGCTGGCCTTGAACTCACAGAGATCCACCTGCCTCTGCCTCCTAAGTGCTGGGATTAAAGGTGTGTGCCACCACCGCCCTGCAAGAAATACTTTTTAAAAATGTTCAACATCCCAGTGTAGATCTCTGTATCTGCTTCCATCAGTTGCTGGATGAAGGTTCTATGATGACAATTAAGGTAGTCATCAATCTGATTACAGGGGAAGGGCAGTTTAGGTGTCTTCTCCACTATTGCTTAGAGTCTTAGCTGGGGTCATCCTCGTGGATTTCTGGGAATTTCCCTAGTGCCATGTATCTCTCTAGTCCTTTAATGGTTCCTTCAATCAAGATAATTCAGTCCTAAGGCTCTTGGATCATTGATAGGGTGTCAAGGCTATAAGAGCTACAAACAGTGGACAACTACAAGGACACATTGTCTTTTGGACACAACAAAGCAGTTGCACATATGAACTCAGAGATTTTAATAGAACAATAAAACCTGAGCAAACTGAAGCCACATCAAATCTCAGCAATGGAGAGGGGAGATGTGAACAGAATTCTACCCTCAGCCAGTAGCTTTTGGCAGTTGTCAGTTGCTGGGACAGGACTGTTTCCTCCAAGAGTAGTAAGTCAACCACCCTCCAGTAAAACTACACACACAAATCGGTCTTGAAACATTAAAAACAAAATAAGACACAAAGTTGGATGGTCGATATATAAGTTATATATAAAAATATAAGAATTCTATGTATATTTTTATAAACTAACATGCAGTAAAAAAGCAGTTAATAGTCAAAACCCAGTATACAACATCAAACACAAAATGATTTAAATTCGATCTTGAGGATAAACAACATAAAGACACTAACCAGTTCTGACATTTTTCACTTAATGTTTTATTTGCCTTCAAATTTGCATCATATCAGGAATTAAAACTACTTCTGTAACCTCTTATCGTTTGTCAGAGATACTTACAAAGCACTCAGCAGCATCGTCCATGAGGCCAAGCTGAAACCTCTGCTCATCTTTGAAGCTTTCTGCAAGAGCATGCCTTATGTTATCTGAGGGAAGTGCTTTTTCTCGACTGTGTTGAAACTGGGCAAATATTGTCTAGAAATCAAAAGTACATCAGTAGGTCTAATGCTACCATTATAAACACTTTAATAATTTCACAGCAGAGAAATTCAAGAGAGCATAACCATACCCAGAAATGAATACAGAACAGTTAATCCTGATATTCCATACAAAGTGAATTATTTGGGAACTGAGGAGATGGCTCAGAAGGCAAAACACCCACTTGGATACTGGAGTCTGAAAGTCTGAATCCCCAGAAACCACACAAAAAATCTGGGTGGGCACAGAGTGCCTGCAAGCAATCCCAGTATGCAGAAGGCAGGGATAGGGAGTCCCTAGAGCTAGCTGGCTAGCCTGACTCCCCCAAACACAGCTCCATGTCCAACTAGAGACCCTGCCTCAAAACAACATGGAGAATGACTGAGGAAAGCACCCGACACCCAAAGTCACCCTCCCCACCTCCAATTCCCAGCTGGGGTTATAGGCAGATCCAAATTCAGGTCCTCATGCTTGCACAACAAACTGAGCCATCCTCCCCTCCTCTGTAATAGCCCTATTCTGGAGCTGCCAGAACTCCCCCTTCCTCTGAAATCCTTCTCTCCCCCCCTCCCCCCAGCTCTCTCATTCTCTCGCTTACAATGCTTCTGTGTCCAGACCTCTTTGGTATTCATTGAGAAACATTTTTAAGTTGTTTCTAAATCTACCTGGAAGATTCTTCTCCCACAAGGCCCTTTACTGAACGCCATCACCTAAGTCTCAAGTAAAATGTCAACCTCCTAATACTTCCAGTTCTTTCTCTGGTTAGTATTTCCTCCTCGGCCATCCACATTCTTATCACCTAACATACTCTCCATTTGGCATACACATTGTCTCCTACTCCACAAAAGGCCATAAAGGTTCCATGAGAGTGGGGTTCTGTTGTTGTTTGTGTTAACAGGCTCTCACTATGTATCTCAGGGCAGCCTTGAACTTGAAAGTTACCTGCTTGTATATCCCAAGTGTGGGAAGAACAGGAATTGTTACAAATTGTGCTCAGTGAATTAACCCAGGCTATATCAGTGCATTAGGCCAGTAATGAGAGCAGCACCCAGAACTCAGTAACAGTCGAAAACACATTCCTTAAAATGAATAAACAGCAACTACAAAGCAAAGTATTCTCAACAGTTTCATATTACTTAAAATATCAATTTTTAATTATCTAACACAAAACTAGAAGACAAAATTCTGTGATATTTTAAGCATTCATTTTCAAAACTATGTCATTTGACAATGAACTTCAGCCCTAGCCAAACGAAGCAGCCATGAAAATGAGAATTTTGGAGGACCAACAGTAATTACTAGATAGTTACCTTCAATGCACAAAATATACAGGCATCGCCCTGACACACATGTCCAGTCAGAACTCTCAAGCTTCTTCGGAATATATCTAGTTGCCATAAAACCTAAAAAACAGATTTAAATGAAAAACAGACTGAGCTTGTTCTCATTATGAAACAAGGGCATATTTTGACATTTTAAAAGCATTAAAATAGTAAATGACTTCTTTAATCCCTGTACATAAATGGACTTGCATAACCACTAGAAACAATGGGAAGCACAAGACTACACAGAAGAAATTCCAACCGACTCACATGAAAAGCCACGGCAGGCACAGAGCACGAGAACAAAGTTCTCAGAGTTAAGGGTCAGGACAGACAGGAGACAAGGGACACTACACAGAGAACTTGGCCGAGACATGAAAGAGGAAGAGGTCATAATACTTAGCACCACCGGAAGTCTGGGAAGGAAGTATAATTAGACTTTAAAGCTAGGATGTACTAAATAGTGGTCAGTGCGTCCTGCCAAGAAGAATGGGTATGTGTGTGGTCGTACTAAATGAAAGCGGCCTGTGGCAATGGGGGCATGGTAAAGAGGAAGTCAAGCAGCAAGTTGAGTATATTTGCTGCAATTACTCTTTAGACACTTGCTACTAAGAGAAAGGCAGACAGCCAAGTGTCAGTGTTGAAATAAATCAGTCTACTACCTAAAAGCCATGTTTGTAAAACCTGAATTCTACACAGTGAAATAAATAATATTACTTGTCTCATACAGTTTTTGTGAGGATTAAATAAACAAAATGTAAAGGGTGTGAACAGCAGGGCCTGACACATAGCTGGTACACAAGTAATTACTTTAAAAAAGTTCATCAAGATTCCCTGCATCTTTTAGTAATTTCTTCAGGTAATATAACTTATAAAAACCAACTTCAAACATCTAAATTCTTGACAAAAGAACAAGATATTAGTAAAAGGTTAAGTAAAAACAAAATGAATGTTTTGCAAAACACTTGGTAGTATTTAACTTTCTTACATATTATCTCTTAGCATATCACAAAAATACAAGATTGATATCCATTTTCAAAGGTCTCAACCAAGACGAGGAAGATTAATGATAGCAAAATGTCCAATAACACAAGCTCTGAAGGCAGAAGTCCTGGGCTCCAGCTCTGGCTCTGTTGAGCAGCTCTTGAACTGATAGACAAATGTTTACTGTAGCATCTATCTCCAAGCATTGTAAAGATTAAAGGAAATGGTATATGTAACAGTCAGACAGGGATCGAATTCATAGTAAGGGCACAGCAAATGTTAGCTATTAAATATAACTTTGCTTCTAACTCAAAGAATTTATCAGAGTACTAACATGCTAAGCATGTTTTAACTGTATGCTTTGTCACGTAAAAGTTTTAGATTATTCAGTGAGTAAGACATACTCTAGCTTCTGTTCATAAAACCAATGTCTTTCATGTTGTTTCAAGAGTTGAAGTATCCTCCATGGGTGGGCCTCCAAAGTGATTACTTAATGCCAATCTCAGTGCCAGGCATGGGTATCTCCCTTCCACTGATTGGTCAGGGAGCCAGAGGCACCCCAGAACACGTAGGCATAATATTATCATTGCTTTTGGTTGCCCACCATAACCAGATGATAAGATGGTACCTGCTGAAGACACCACCCACTTCCATTGCAGGACACAGAGAAATCAACCTGACAGACTAGGAAACCCTCTCCCCCTTGGCTAGCGTTCAGAGTGCTGGAAGGTACCACGCATGCTAACAAGGGGAGAAAAGACATCGACAGTGGCCTTTCTGGATCCTTCCGGTTACAACAGTGATCTGTCTGCCACACTGAATGCACTTGTGCAACAACAGCATAACAGTTATGAGAGTAACCAACTGTTTTCTGATTGGCTACAAGGTCTGCTCCATTTCAAGTCTGGTTCTGTAAACTTGTCAGAAGTTTGTCATGACTAGGGATATCACAGGCTCTAGAGGAAGGAAAACTCATATTAAATGGTTACGTTGTCAAATTAACTTCCAAATCTGTTTGTACGCACAGATTAGTGCTGCTCTCACAGAAGTTTCTTTTTGCAGTAGGTAACAATTAATGCAGAGACTCAGTATCTGGTCAATGTACCAACTGTAAACAATAGTTAGTACTAAGCTGCCAGATGAAGAGAACTCTGAAGTGCAGACTTGTAGATATGACAAGTTTGGGCAAATGTCATCTCACAGGACCTGTGGTTATCTGCAAGGAAGATCTACAAGATCAAGCCAGTAAAAATTCTGGCATGAATAATAGGGAAGGAGCTACTGAGACCACACCCCCAGCAAAGGAGCTCTTGACACTGATGGCTGCTGAGGAAAAGTCACTTTGAGGGAGAAGAGGCCTCTAGTGGGTTGCTTATGCCAGAGTGAATGGCCTAAATCCGTGTACATATGTGCAGTACTATTTGGACGGAGGAGGAGGGGATGAGGATAAGGATAACGACAACCTCCATGCCACCACTATGATATGAAACTGGGAGGTGACAAGCTGGGGAGTCCCAGAGAAATTGAAGGGAGGGAGTGAGGGATGGATATAAGACTATATTATATACATATATGAAATTTATAAAAATAATCCTTCCTGTATTCAACATACTAGTATAAAGCCTTAAAGTTCTTATCACAAAATTACTTTAATTATAATTCATCCTTATCTTCTTTCATAAGATACAGTCTATTGACTGATAAAATAAGTCTCAGCTAACTGCTGAACTAATTAGTTTTTAGTGACATATACTCTTTTTTAATTAATTAGTGGCATATACTCTTTTTTAATTTCTTGCATGTAGTTATTTAACATGAATCCTAAAAAATGTGTGGTCTTTTTACATTTCGACAGTTTACGTATCCCCTAAAATTCATACACACAGTAAGTTTAACAAAGGAATATACACTTTGATCATATTCCTCACTTTGAAACACTATAAAAATACACTGACAACTGAGAACTGGTATAGAAGCCTTACACTGACCCATATCTTTTCATAGGTGCATCTGAAGTTGCTACAGCCTCACAAGATGTATTCTTCAATCAATTTCTAAGCAGGCTTTAAAACAGTCATGAAGCCGATTCTTAACAAGATATTTTCTGGCAGAAAGTCTGCCTGAGTAGTAGTTTTGTGGATGAGAACTGGCTTTGCAGATCAGCCTACAGCAACATCTCAACCCTGGAGGCTTCTAGAGCAAGCAGGACAGAGTGATGCTGGGTCTCACCCTGGACTGCACAGGCCCCCTCCAAGTATTCCAGTAAGAACAATGCGGAAGTCAGAAAAGGAAACATCCAAACTAGAAGGAATCATGCTGAGAGCTCATGGGAAGACCAGGATGAGACCTCACCACCAGCACCTCTCCACATAGCCACCAAGGGTCAAGACAGAAAACTCAAGTGCACAGAGCACTGGCTAAAGAAAAGAAGTGTCTGGAAGTACATTAATGTTTGGAGTAACTAAAACTCCCTGTCCAAGAAACATGAACAAAATGATCAGACTGTTTTCAAATAAATTAATATTGCCCCAGAATAAAGTTCAAAATTATCTTTAGGTATCCTAAAATATCTATAACCCCACAAGGTGAAACTTCTGTGACATGCCCTCCACACACACACACACACACACACACACACACACACAACCAGAACTTCAAAATATAAAACTATCTTTTATATAAAGGGCAAAATTAGTAGACAAGCACAGGAAAACAATTCATAGGCTAAAGGTTAAGACTGAACACATGATTCTGAGACATGAAGACACATACCTAATTATTTGCTAATGAAAACCAATGTCTAAGATAAAAAATGTAGTACGACAAATAGCAGATTAGACATTGCAAAAACAAAGACTTGGAGATACAGAGACAGAACCACACAGAATGATACAGAGGAAGGAAGACTAAGAAGGGCGTGCATGAGCTGTGTGTCACTCCAAACAGCATGTGAGTACATGCATGAGCTGTGGGTACTTCAAACCACATGTATGAAACTGGAGTCCTCCACAGAAGGAACAAACAGGACAGCAACTTGAACCAATAATAGTAAATGAGTTCCAAATAAAAATTACAAATTGACAGCTTCAAGAGACTCAACAAGCTCAACCATGAATGACGTCAAGAAACCTGTAGAGACACAATGTTATAAACCAGGGATAAGGAAAAACCTGAAGAGGGGCCACAGGACAGGACATGACATACAGAAAAGCAAAAAACCACTGTTTTCAATAGAAACTATGAGCGTACAGAAAGAAAACTATCAGGAGGCACCAGGGAGTCCATATCGTCTCCCCTATTTGAGATGCACCTAAGGCTGGCCTTCCAAGTCCTGATCTTCCTGTCTCCACCTCAAAAGAAGCGAGATTAAAGGCATGCATGACCACAGGCAGCTTTAATCTGCTAATCTTTCGAATAGGAATGAAGTATGTTTTTTTTCAAACACACAAAAACTAGAATAATACATTATTAACAAGCCAGCTCTATTTAAAAAAAAATGCAAGCAAAGGTCATTTAAACAGAAAAAAAAATCTGCATTGAAACATGGTTCCATTTAATGTAGTAGGAAGTACCATAAACAAACACTATATAGAAAAATGGTCTTTATGGCAAAGTTCCATGGAATGTCCATTTAAAAAGAAAGTATGTTGCCAAGAGAATAATTTCTACTTTCTTGACTATGAACATTACCATACTTGGAATTTGTTTTTGTAGCAACTTTTGTCTCCCTAAACCTCCCCCCCCCACACACACACACACATTGTGGGAACTAAAGAAAAGGAAAAACGTAAAGCAGAAAACAGGAAAAGACCTGAATTGACAGCTGGACCCAATGAAAGCATCTGGAGCTTGGATTTCCTCATATCCACTGCCATTCAACAAGGATTTTCTTTTCTCTTAATAGTGCCAGCAGAATGCCTAAGCTGGGCAGAACATTGCTGTTTGAGGTCCAAAGTGAACCAGAATCAGTGTTTTCCTAAAGTCTCTGGCTCCCCTTCCTGGGTGGGTGAGTGGGGGACATGTGCTGCAGGTGGAGAGCCACTGAGAACAGGTGACTCGGCGTGGAGCATGCGGCACATCACAGACGTGCATCACAGGTGTGTCTGTTCACTAGACTGGATCTGCCGCTCTCTACCTTAGTGTTCGGAAGAAAACATCTGGGGCTGACAGAAAGCAAAAGCATACTATATAAAAGAAAGATTATTTAAGAGATCAAGTTTTACAGTTATTGAAATAATTTCTTAAAAGGTGTGAAATAGAGGAAATAACTGTTTGTTAATCTAAAACAGTGATACTGCCGGGCGGTGGTGGCGCACGCCTTTAATCCCAGCACTCTCTGTGAGTTCGAGGCCAGCCTGGTCTACAAGAGCTAGTTCCAGGACAGGCACCAAAGCTACAGAGAAACCCTGTCTCGAAAAGATAAACAAACAAACAAACAAACAATAAATAAATAAATAAAACAGTGATACTCAAATTATGATTTCAGAGGCAGTTTAAGGGTCACTGGGAGGTGAAGAGAGCTGAGCTACTGAAGTAAAATAAATCCGTATTATTTCAACCTAAGCAGCTTGTTTCTTTTTATCCCATCTACTGGGATGTATACTAGACTTACTTTTAAAAGATACTGCAGGAGAGTGTTAGCTAAATAAAACAAAAATGTTCATTTAAAAATATTTTTAATCTATTAAGCACTGTGAATAAAAATTTTCTTTACATCAGAACAAAAGTATCATTCTTTGGAGAAATATCATTTCCAATTATTATAAAAACCAAAATGTTCAGCGAGATTATCTTGTGTCTCACTGAAAGTGACAGGAGGTATTCCAAGGCTGAGCAGAATGCTCAGTTGGTAAAGTGCTTGTCATGCAGGCCTGAGGACCTGAGTTCAGATCCCTGGACCCATGTAGAAACCAGCCAGGGTAGCATGTATGTAGCCAGTGCTGGGGAAGGAGGAGAGGCAGGCAGCTCTCTGAAGCTCAGTCAAGCCAGCCTAGCTGAACGGATGAGCTGCAGTCCAGGGAGTGACCATGCTTCCAAAAAGGAGGTGGAAAGCAGCTGAGGAATGACCCCTGGTGCTGACTTCTGACCTCTGCATGTGCACACGTGTACCTGCATGCTCATGGGTATATGAATGGGTGCACACCACCCCCAGCACACAGCCCAATACTGGAAGTCACTCCAGTTAATGAGGAAATAAAAGAATCATTACACAAGAGGGCCCTAAATGTCTTTAACAGCGGAAACAAGGAACGAATGGTCTCACCTGTACAGCACTATTAAGAAAGCAGCTGTTCTGTCCTGGTTCGTTTAATAAGCCGACAGTAGGGGCTAGGGACAGCAAACTTCCAGCCTGATAGGCTTTTCCAAGATTACCACCAGGCTTCCGTAAGAATTTTACCCAGGCCATTTTCAAGCAACTTCTTTTGCATTCAAGCTAAGCAGTAAGCTTATGCGGTGTTACTTTGGATGACAAAATGGGTGATGTCTTGAGTTGTCTGCTTAAACCCACTGTAATCCACAATAAGACTGTATGCTTCTAAGTCCCTATCTTCCCTGATGGTCTACATTTCTCAGGACTTTGATAAATCAAGGTAAATGTTGAAGTTCTCCGTGCTAAAAAGCAAGGTATTTTAAACAAGGCCTTACAGGTTTTATAACTCTTAAAATTTATAAGTTCTACACATTGATGAAAATAATTTTAACTGCTAAAAATATACGATGAATGATTCATCTTCTTTAATGTTTAAGTCCTTAGTCCTGATGGGCTAAAAATATATAGAGAAGGTGCAAGGTGCAGAGCTGGCATCTGTGGGGTTCTTCTGGGCATGTTTTCTTTGTTTCTCTAACAACGCAGCTTTTCTCTGATCCAGGTGAATTTATCAAAGGTGACTCCATATTTCATCAGCGTGACCTCAAAGCAAGTCTACAAAAAAAGAGAAAAGAAATGTTTAAATAAAAGTTGATCAAAACTTTCTCACTTATGATTTTATATAGTCACTGAATAAAGAATTACAACTCATCATCAGAAGGATTAGAATAGCATTCTGAAATACGAAAATGAAAACATGTCATTTAGAATGTTTTTTAAGTTGATAGGACAATAATCACTATCTATCACAAGACTGCAATGCTAAGAGGAAGGTTTCCTAAGAAAAATGTTCTCTAAAAAAAGTAAATTAGATGTGTAGTGGTATTCTGTACTTGCCAATAATAAATTATTATATTAAATAAATATGTAATCTATAAGCAGACTTTTTCTAAGAACATTAGAGTTTATGTAAATTAATATTATAATTACAAACTAGGCAGAGTAAATAAATATCTCTAGTAAGGTATTTCTTTTTTTTTTTTAAACAAATGTATGCTTTAATGGACTTTAAAGTTTCAACTCCTGAATTAAAAACAAGTTCTTGCTATCAGCATTTTCTTTAATCAACTGAATTTCCTCCTTGCACTCTTTCATTTAACAAATTTGTACCAAGCCATGTACTGTCCTGAGCACTGAACCTACAATGAAGTTCAGACAATGATTCATACAATGACAACACATTAAATTATAGAGGGCACTAGCAGCCTTAACTGGGGAAGGGTCGGGAAGCAGGATAGGATGTGTACCTTACACTTTAAGCTGGATGTTGAGAAATGACTAAGCAGCTTGTATCTACATCAAGATTTGAAGGAGGGAAAGCCAGCGGATGGCAAGGACCCAGTTAGTGTGATCAGCGACTGTAGGTAATTACCTGGATCGAAATCTGGTCTGGTGGAGGAACATAAAGAAGACCAGTGTAACCAGAGAGATGCTAGAGAGGAAAGCATACTGCAAAGGGACGATAGGAAAGCAACTGCATAGAATCGCAACAGACGCCGTGTTAATTCTAGGTCAAAGTCACCGAATTCTATCTTCACAGCACACACAGATGAGCGACTGGGTCAGCCTGCTATCACTGATCAAATACCCACTTGGTAACAAAGCACTAGAGAAGAAAGAAGAAAGACACCAGTCTCTAACGACTCACCCAACAGACCTTGTTTCCAGGCCAGCTTATCAGCTGCCTGGCCTCAGATAAATTCTTCCCATCCCAGAGTCAAAACTTGCTCACCTCACAAATGGGGTAACAGTAATTGTCCTGCTTGATGAGATTAAATATTTTTAAAATTATAAAAGTATGTTAGCTGTTTCCTCTACTTAACTCTCTTAAAGAGATCTAAATAATCCTGAAATACATCATATATACTGTTTCTAATAAACTCAGCCATGGTTTTACAACATTAATAGAGCTCTAAATGAGAATGGCCCCCATAAATTCACATGTTTGAATACTTGGTCCCCAGTTGGTAGAACTTCTTCCAGTTGGGAAGAAGTGGGAGGTGTGGACTTGTTGAAAGAGATGTGTCACTGAGGGAGGGCTCTGAGGTTTCAAATGCCCATCTCACCCCCAGTTAGCTCTCTCTCCTCCTACTAGCAGATCAAGATGAAACCTTGCTGATTCTGTGCACATGCCTGCCTGTTCACTACCACATCATGATAGTGATGGACTCCTATCCCTCTGGAACTGCAATCAAAAACCAGCCCTTCCTTCTATAAGCTGCATTGGTCATGGTGTCTTATCACAACAATAGAAAGTAACTAGTACAGCAGCATTTTTAATTCTTACCTTAAATTGTGTGTGTGTGTATGTGTGTGTGAGTGTGAGCATTCACATACCATGAAATGGGCAGAGAGGTCAGAGGACAACCTCTGGTCTTGGTCTGAGCTTTCTGCCTTGCTCGAGACAGTCTCGTCATTGTTTTTCTGCTATGTAGGCCAGACTAGCTGGCCTGCGAGCTTCCGGGAATTCCCGTCTCTGCCTCTCAGCTCCATGTAAGAGTACGAGGATTAGACACTTGTGCTACCTGTTCAACTTTTATGTGGGTTCTGGAGATTCAAACTTACGTCTATACACTTGTACAGAAAGTATTTTTATCACTAACTCATCTCCACAGCCCATACATTTCTGTTTTTAATGGAAAATCGTTTTAAAATTATATTCTTTCAACAAAACTTCATTGTCACCAATTCTATGCCATGAAGTAAGATATGTAAAGCAATTACTCCCTTTTAAGAACTCAGGTTTATGAGGGGCACAGACACAGATACTTTAAAAATACTGTGCCTTCCATTCCCACATAAGATGTCAAACAGGAATGTATGTGTTCAGTGCTGTCTTCTGACTCAGTAGCTCTCAAACTGAGAGTTGTGATCCCTTGGGAGTCGACTCTTTCACAGGGGTCACCTAAGAACACTGGAAAACACAGAAATTTACATTATGATTCATAACAGCAGCCTAATTACAGTTCTGAAGTAGCAATGAAATAATGTTATGGTTGGGGATCACCACAACATGAGGAACTGCATTAAAGGGTTGCAGCATTAGGAAGGCTGAGAACCAGTGGTCTAACCTATCCCTAAAGAGTAAACAAAAGTCAGCTGTAAGGAAAAGCAGGGAGAAAGTCTGAGAATATTAAAAGTGACTGGCTCCTGAGGAGGAAAGAGACAGCAGTTAAAGCGATGGAGAACCCCAAATACCACGGACCAAGAAAGACATTCCTAGTTGTAACCTTTCTATTCCAGAGAACTCTCAACCCACACAGTACAAATACAGGAAAGTACCGATATCCAGGGCTATCTGGGAGAGTCTACATCAAGACTGTATTACAGGAAAACCTGTTTATGAAGTGGTAGCAAGAACAGGCACAGCCCCTTTGTGCTCTGTCCTGCCCCCACTACACAGATTACTCTAGAGCACCACTCCTGTTAGCAGGCAATAAAAGCCCCTTAGGAATAAATTCCCAGACTTCATGAAGTCCCTCCATCTCCTCTGCTCCTGAAATCAGCTCACATACATATTAGAGCCTTGTCACCTGCTTCAGCATAAACAGGGCTAGTTTATGACTCGGTAAACCTCAGGTAACTATTGTTGGACTTTCAGAAAACGTGAACAGAGCAGATGCAGGCCAGTGAGATGGCTTAGCAGTTGAACACACATGGTGGAAAGAACGAAACAGTTCACCTAAGTTGTCCTCTCACTGCCACATGCGTGCAGAGGTGTAAATATATATATAAAATCTCTCTCTCTCTTTCTCTCTCTGATTCTAACTACATAAATATGCAAAAAACTAACAACAAAAAGAGGTAGGGAACTGAACCCTCCAATAACATAATGTGATAGTTTGAATATAATTGGCCCCCATGAGCTCAGAGAGAGTGGCACTATTAGGAGGTGTGGCCTTGGAGTAGGTGTGTCACTGTGGGGGCTGGCTTTGAGGCCTCCTTTGCTCCGTGTAGAGTCAGTCTACTTCCTGTTGCCTGTGGAATGAGATGTAGGACTCTCAGCTCCTTCTTCAGCACCACGTCTACCTGCACACTGCCATATCCCACCATGATGACTAGGCCTCTGAACTGTACGCCACCCAAATTAAATATTCTCCTTTATAAGAATTGTTGTGGTCATGGTATATCTTCACAGCAGCAGAAACCCTAACCAAGACAATAGAGAATGAAAAAATAAGAGTTAAGACAAACAACATAGTATCAACTAGTTCACAATAATGTGTAAATTAAAAACAAAAAATTGAAAAGATAGGTAACAAAAAATTTGAATGAAAGAGAAGAAAATATTTGTGATTAATAAGTTCAGGCTATACCCAGAGACTGATTTATCTCTCAACCCCCATCAGAGAAGCTTATGTTTGTAGTAGATGGGATTAACATAAAGGCCCAAAACTGGCCAACTATAAAGATTAAGAGACCAGAATACTCAGCTCTAAATGGAATATATATTCCCCATTCTTCAAAGGCTTAGGGATCACTGTGGAAGACAGTGTTAAAGAACCAGATGCAGTCTATGACTTAAAGCAAACAGTGTCTTCTGGACAGTGCAGGGAAGCTATACATATGAACATATGCACAGTAACTGAGAGAAAACACACAAGACCTCTGAAAATTCAAGCCATATCAAATCCACAATGGAGAGGGAGTTGGACAGGAAACTCCTTTTTAGCTGAGGAGTTACTGAAAACTGATAGCTTCTAGGAGAGGGAGCGTCGGTTTCTTCTAAGAATGTAGCCCCTGAAAAGTAGATCACACTCCAAAGGAAGATCACACATGCAAAAATATTTGGGCAACACAAATTGGTCTGGATGGGTGGGGAGGGGGTAGATCGAGGAACAGTTGGGTGGTATGGTATAAAACTATGAAAGAATTACTAAAATAGTTTTAAGTTCTCATGCAAAGCACTAAAAAGCAATGCAAACACACACACATTAAGTATGATTTAAAAGTCAAGAAGCATAAATATACTCAAATTCACCAATGATTCCTAGAAAGAAAAGGCAAATACTTCTAGAAAGAGGTAAGAATTTCAGAGTTCAACTTGAGAGGTGAAAGCAAGCAAAACAGGTGACTTAAAGTTCAAATATAAAATGAAGAAGAGAAGTAGAAAAAAATTGTCAAAAGGAGAATGAATCAAACTTAGTTTCTGCAAAAACTACACTAGAAATATCTTCATGAGGCTGATTAAAGAGAAGGGAGATATAAAACCAGTAGAACTGATAAAGGAGAAAAGATCATAGATATGTATGTGAAAACATTGTAAAATAATGTCTAAAAATAGCGCTAAAAATTTAAAGGTCCAGATAAGTGCATAGCAAAATATAAAGTACTAAAATTAATCCAAGCAAAAATACAAAACAAAAAGACTAAGTAGTTGAGTTAAAAATAGAAAAGAGATAGGCATTCTCCCTCTGATAGTGGTGCCAGAACTGGACTCAAAGTCAAATGTTACCTAATTTTCAAAGACCCATTGCTTCCCAATGCTAAATTATCATAGGTCACAAGGAAAATAAACTACATTTTTAAACAGCCCTTCATATCCAAACATGAGC